GTTAGCCGGTTGGCCTAATCCAAAACATACGCGCTCTCGCTAAACTGTACTACGACGCTGGTTATCAAGTGGATCGCTTAAGCCAGCCGTTTCCTATCTAGTTAGGTGCGCGTTCACATGAAAGGGGTGGTATCTGGAGCATTCGACCAATCACAAACATGGACATCGTACTGACAGCGCAGCGTCATACTTCCTGAATGAAAAGTCAACTTGAATACTAGTCAAAAATGAAGAAGTTAAACTTTAAACATCCATGACTTAAACACTTTATCCAGGATAAAAGCCACATAGTCTGCACCTGCAAGGTGAATACAGCTGGCAAAAGAAAAAGTGTTTGAATGCGTACATTAACAGGTTTATGATATCACTGCCCCGTCTAAGACACGATCTGACTTTAATTACATTTGTCTCGAGTGTTTCGTCAACTTAATGTGTTGCTTAAAATAATACTTCTGCATACAGCATGTGACACTGATACGGCTCAGCTGACTCAGATAAGAAAATGTGATACATTATGAAATGATATGCCGCGGACTGTAGGCTACTTAATGTTACTCTGATCCGGTTACTTATGTTGTGGCAGATATTTAAGTAAGCTTTCTTAACGCTAATGTTATAATAGTCAGATTGCTCTGAAGATGGGAGGTGATATTCTATTAATGTTCACGTTCACACAGTCGGTGATTTTTGCCAGCCGTCTTTCCTGCGACGGCAGTTTTTCTGTATTTCCTTTCTCCTGTAATATGACTTGATCGCTTTAAACTCCGCACACTGAGCTCTGATTGGTCAGCAGGCAGTGCTTTCACTGAGTTGAGCTCTTAGCCTGCAACCTAACCTGGTCCCGACCAGGTTAGCCGCTAAGCATAAGTTACCATGGAGATCTAGCCTGCTAAAAAGAGAACCAGCTTCGTAGGACCGGAAAGCCGGAGTTTTCCCTGAATTTAGCAGGCTAAGCGAAAATCCTGCTTCGTAGTATACCCCCCTGGTTAGGTTGCAGGCTAAGAGCTCAACTCAGTGAAAGCACCGCCTGCTGACCAATCAGAGCTCAGTGTGCGGAGTTTAAAGCGATCAAGTCATATTACAGGAGAAAGGAAATACAGAAAAGCTGCCGTCGCAGGAAAGACGGCCGGCAAAAATCACCGACTGTGTGAACGTGAAAATGAATAGAATATCACCTCCATCTTCAGAGCAATCTGACTATTATAACATTAGCGTTAAGAAAGCTTACTTAAATATCTGCCACAACATAAGTACACTGAGTGCAGACGATGTGTCCCATTATCATTCATATCACATCATATCACATCATAATGTATCATATATTTCCTTATCTGAGTCAGCTGAGCCGTATCTGGCCGTGCAACACTCACAGTGTCACATACTGTATGCAGAAGTATTATTTTAAGCAACACATTAAGTTGACGAAACACTCGAGACAAATGTAATTAAAGTCAGATCGTGTCTTAGACGGGGCAGTGATATCATAAACCTGTTAATGTACGCATTCAAACACTTTTTCTTTTACCAGCTGTATTCACCTTGCAGGTGCAGCTATGTGGCTTTTATCCTGGATAAAGTGTTTAAGTCATGGATGTTTAAAGTTTAACTTCTTCATTTTTGACTAGTATTAAAGTTAACTTTTCATTCAGGAAGTATGACGCTGCGCTGTCAGTGCGCTTCTCCATGTTTGTGATTGGTCGAATGCTCCAAATACCACCCCTTTCATGTGAACTCGCACCTAACTAGATAGGACACGGCTGGCTTGAGCGATCCACTTGATAACCAGCGTCGTAGTACAGTTTAGCGAGAGCTCGTATGTTTTGGATTAGGCCAACCGGCTAACTCAAACATATCCAGGTTAGGTTGAACCAATTTCGTAGTATAGGCCCCAGGTGGTGATGGATGTTGTTGTGGTCAACACTGGACAGATAACCTATTTCCAGACAGGGGGGATTAGATGGATTAACACAGTGAGGGTGAGACACCTTCCACAGCAGCTCTGTGCTGTTGACAGAAAGCCTCTGTGTCTGGTCATTTATAACACTTTAAAAACGTTAGAAAAACGCTTATATACGTATGCATATAAGCTGATTTATAATTCATTGTATTTTCTGTGTGTATTACATGTGGTTAGCTTTATGTGAAAGCACTACATCTATCAATGAATAGTGCTATAAAATAAAGTTCACTATTAATAATATGTATTATGTACAAAGCTGTTTGAATCTCTTATTGAGTTATCATGGTATTCTATACAATATCTGTGGACATTATCTGGTGGGTGTCACTGCACGAACGGAACAAAAAAAGTATGATTAGTCCTAACACAACACGGTGAATGCTGCATGTTTGTTTGTTTGTTACTTAAAAGCATCATAATGAGCAGTTTGAGGACCATGGCTGTAGCGTGACACTCTCTGATGTTATCGACGCTGCTGCTGACGTCAGCTGATGCTATGGTCCAAGTGTATCAAGTCACACAGACCAAAATAATACCTTTGCGATTTCACAATAAGAGCAGGAAATCCCTTCTGGAAATATATTTTATAGATCGGTTTGCACGTAATGAAGATTTTATAAAACAAGTTTCCAATTAAGTTAAATTGTTCCATTAAATATAAAGTGAAATAACGTGTGGTACAAATTGCATTATATAATTTCTAGGGCTGTCAAACGATTACAATTTGTAATCACATTAATCACAGTTTAAAAATTAATTAATCATGATTAATCACCATTCGAACTATGTCCAAAATATGCCATTTCTTTATGTATATTGTTGTGGGAATGGAAAGATACATGAAAGAAGGCGGATATATCCATTTAACATACAGTATGTATGTAGGCCTATGTTTATTATAACATTGTTCTGTGTGTCAAAATGAAAGACAGCCCACACACCTATTAATCATCAAACTGTGGGGTCTTATTTCAATGTTGTAATGTTGTATCGATGTATAGAGATACTACCGCAAAAGTATTCTCCGTCGGGACTTCCTGCAACAACACCACGCCGTTATCTTGATTCTGATTGGCCAGAAGACATTATCAAAGATGTTCTATTGAGAAGACGATCACTACGTGACAACAGTTTTCAAAACCGTTTCTGGTCTTCGGTATTTCCAGACAAGTGGCTACTGAAATCAATCTTACTAACTGCTGTCTGTGCAATTCTCTGCGCGAGTTGGCGGACTTTATTTTGCTTACTTTAACATCATTTTTCATGGTGGGGCTAAGCCATTTATTGGTATGGGTGTAGCCTACCCCAGCCATACCCTGGCGCTGCCACTGGTGGGATGTATGGGGCGGGCCATTCTGCACATGCGTTAAATATTTTAACGCAATTCATTCAACAAATTAATTACCGCAATTAACGCGATAATTTTGACAGCATTAATAATTTCGCAACACCTTATCCCTTAATTTACTAAAAGGTAATAAATACACTCTGAACAGTAAAGATCAATGAATGATTACCTCCAGGGGCCGTCAACCCCGCCCCACATCCGTAATAAGTCTGCACTATTGAATAATTGTGTGTGATTCTTACAGTAAATGCTGCACACAGCTGCTTTATAAAATAGTATAAAAAGCTCCTTCATTGATCACTCCATTATTCCCTCCCGAGTCCCGCTGTTTGGATCTAGCAACATCGGGGGCTTAGCCCAGCACGACAATTGTACTACATTAATTGTACTACAATAGATTATCCAAAGAATACACAATATAAAAGTAATAGACCAATCGACCAGCCAAACAGAAACACATGGACATATTATTAAAACACGATGTGCAAAGGAAGAAAATAATAATAATGTCAGTAAAGCAAGAAGATGTTTTCCGTCGAATAAATTATTATATTTCGAGAGCAGCACACTTTCAAAATAGGACATACTGTAACTGTAAGCCCATATAATCTTATCGACAAAATACATTTATCAAAATTATCTTTGAGGGCCCCCTGGGCACTTGCCCAGGTTGCCCATATGGTAGATCCGGCCCAGGTAAAGAGAGGCCTTTAGTAGGTAGCATTGTAGGTAGAAGTATGTAAACAAGAAGCACTTAGTAAACATGTTAAAGGCACAGGCTTTTGCCCCGGTGTTAGATGCCCAGCGATGTTACAAAGTAGTGTTTTTTGGAAAAGCTGGCAATGAGAATGGCTCCCAACTGGGGTCACAAGGTACAATAGAGGGCATTTATTGTATGAGCCCAAAGCCCAGGCTGCATTGTTTTCTATGGATAATGCTGCATGTTATTCCTTCAAGGTTAGGCCTTGACCTTAACATGTTTTACCACTAAGCACAGCATGACAGACATAATCATATTCAAATCCCATAGGTAACATGACTTCTTTAAAACTGACAACTACAAAAGATCGAATTTATTGAGATTGTGTTTAGCTGTCTTTAGGGACCTAATAAACTGGAAAGCTGTCATGCTCCCTATAAAACACCGCAACGCCTTTACTTTGAAAAGTGTTAGCGGAAGCGCTGGTGAGCTCACCTCAGCTAGTTTGACAGCTAGCCTGGGCACCGAGAGTCTCCTTGGTGCCGCTGATAAAACGGTATTGTGCTGGGCTTTCTCCTCCATCCCATCCTTCCTTTGAACAATGCGTTGTTAGGCAGGAAGGTGAGAGGAGCCCGGCTCTTCACTCCTTCAGGCTGCTCGGGAGCCATGGCGGGGCGGACACTGAGGAGGAAGCAGCGGGTCCACGGCAGCAGCTCTGAGGAGGAGGGATCCATGTTAACGTTACCTGCCGCACAGCCACCGCTGTTACTGACGGAACACACTACTGACGGCTGCTGAAGTTTCACACACATCTTCTGCTTTATAACAGCTACTTCAACTCTCCACTCACTGCTGTTTAATAATGTCTCCGGGTTCATAGCGCAGAGTTTGTTCTAATTCTCTTAGCTTCCAGACAGAACCGTTCCGTGTGTCCGGTAGAGACCTCTGAACCCCCGGCGTAAATCTGGCGTACTGTCCCGCAGTGGCTCACAGAGCGCCTCTTTAATATATCGAAGTCGGTTGGGGTTAACATGGGGGCAAAGCAGAGCAGCCCCACTGCTAACCCGGCTGCTAACGGACGGACCAGAGCCTACTCCGGCTCGGACCTGCTCTCCAGCACGTCCAGCAACAACGGTAACAGGACCACCACCGGGGGGGTGAGGTACCATGGTTACAGTGCGTCCGGAGCCTCGTCCAGCACCAGCCAGCACCATGGAGCCAGGGCCCGGTCTGCGGGGGGGTCCGGAGGCCCCGGGACCCGACCTCAGTCCGGGATAAACATTCCCAACAGCAGCGGAGCCTACAGCTCCCAGGAGTCCGGGGGGAGTAGCCCGGAGGAGGCGGACCGGCAGCGGGCTGGAGGGCAGGAGGCTCCCCGGCTGTTGATAGGATCTCTACCAGCACACCTCTCGCCTCATCTGTTCGGAGGTAAGAGGCAGACCCAGCGGGCCACTGAACTGCAGGGACTCTGACACAGAGGTGGAGAAGTACCAGAGTGTATGAATACTCTGTTACAAGTCAAAGTTAAAATTCAAAAGTATAAGCATCAACATATAGCCTACCATATGTAGCAAAAGTAAAAGTAGTCAGTGTGCAAATTGGTGCATTTCAGAATAATATATATGATATGTTTTATAATGATTGATCATGAAAGTGTTCTCAAAGCTGGTAAAGGTGCAGCTAGTTTGAATGACTTTGTATACTGCAGGGTAGCTTGTGGATTTACTCCAGGTGGAACTAAAGTCTGATTTAACCAGGGTCGGCGTCATGGGGGGTCATTCGCGGGCCATGCCCCCCCAAATGAGTCACTGTGCCCCCCCCCAACGCAGGGTGGGCAAGCCTTGCCACTTTGCTGTTTTTAGTTTTTTTTAATCATATAAGTGAAAACGTTTCCACTAAAGGTTTTTTGTGTGAAATACATCAGAAATAAAGAATACAAATATAAAACACAGCCTGAGGTGTGCTCACTGCTGCTCTCTGATTGGTGTGTTGCCTGACCAATGACCCCCGACCTTTGTTTTGTTATCATTACGTGGCTGTGTGTTTAGATGAAAGCCCAGTGGCGATCTGTTCATCTGTTACACTGATTATACAAGGCAAGGCAAGGCAAGTTTATTTATATAGCACTTTTCAACACAAGGCAATTCAAAGTGCTTTACAAAAAATGAAAGACATTAAGAAAATGGCATTTAAAATCAGTGATTAAAAAGAAAAGCTAATAAAATAAACATTAAAAGAAAAAATACATGGATAAAAGTTACAGTGCAGTCTAAGATATTAATAGTTCAATTAAAAGCAGCGACAAAAAGAAAAGTCTTCAGCCTGGATTTAAAAGTAGTCAGAGTTGCAGCGGACCTGCAGGTTTCTGGGAGTTTGTTCCAGATATTTGGAGCATAATAACTGAACGCTGCTTCTCCATGTTTAGTTTTGACTCTGGGGACAGAAAGCTGACCAGTCCCTGAAGACCTGAGAGATCTGTATGGTTCATAATTTAGCAGGAGGTCAGAAATGTATTTTGGGCCTAAACCATTCAGTGCTTTATAAACCAGCAGCAGTATTTTGAAATCTATTCTTTGACACACAGGAAGCCAGTGTAAAGACTTCAGAACAGGAGTGATGTGATCCACTTTCTTAGTGTCAGTGAGGACTCGAGCAGCGGCGTTCTGAATCAGCTGCAGCTTCCTAATATATTTTTTAGTGAGACCACCATTACAGTAGTCGAGTCTACTGAAGATAAAAGCATGGACAAGTTTTTCCAAATCCTGCTGTGACATTAGTCTTTTAATCCTAGATATATTCTTTAGGTGATAGTAGGCTGATTTAGTAACTGTTTTAATGTGACTGTTGAAACTCAGGTCAGAGTCCATGACTACACCTAGATTTCTGGCTTTATCTGTTGTTTTGAACATTGCACACTGAAGCTCAGTGCTAACTTTTATACGTTCTGACTTGGCTCCAAAAACCATTACCTCAGTTTTATCTTTGTTTAATTGGAGAAAGTTCTGACACATCCAGTCATTGATTTGTTCAATGCACTTACTCAGTGTTTGAATTGGAGCATAGTCTCCTGGTGAAATTGTTACGTAAATGTGTGTGTCATCTGCATAGCTATGGTAACTTATTTTGTTGTTTTTCATTATCTGAGCCAGTGGTAGCATGTAGATGTTAAAAAGAAAAGGCCCCAAGATGGAGCCTTGAGGAACCCCACATGTCATATTTGTCAACTCAGATGTGTATTTACCTATAGAAACAAAGTTGTTTCTGTCCTTTAAGTAGGATTCAAACCAATTTAAAACTGTTTCCGAAAGTCCCACCCAGTTTTCCAGTCGGTCTAGTAATATGCTGTGGTCAACAGTGTCAAACGCAGCACTGAGATCTAATAATACTAACACTGAAGTTCTGCCACTGTCTGTGTTTAAGTGGATGTCATTAAAGACCTTTACAAGAGCAGTCTCAGTGCTGTGGTTTGGACGAAAGCCTAACTGGAACACATCGAAACAGTTATTTAAATGCAAGAAATTACTCAACTGTTGAAAAACAACTTTTTCAATGATTTTACCTAGAAATGGGAGGTTTGATATGGGCCTGTAATTGTTCATTACTGAAGCATCTAGATTATTCTTTTTTAAGAGCGGTTTAATGACTGCAGTTTTCAGGGCCTGTGGAAAAATACCTGAGTGAAGAGATTTGTTTACTATATGAAGTAGATCTGAGGCCATGCAAGGCAAAACATCTTTGAAAAATCCAGTAAAGCCATCGAAAATAATATGATATATAGTACAGTACAAGTAGCCTACTTCTGAGTCTCTGTGTTTCATTCAAGCTCGGCTCTGTGTGTGTGGCACATAGACTGTATATATAAATGGACGTAGTGTCCGTGACGTCACCCATAGGATTCTGCAGAGTTGCCGTGAAGCCCTTAGTAGGCGGAGTCGGCCACTAACGGCTCGACTGTGACGTCAGAGTCTAATCCCGCCTGCTCCAAATAAGGGCAAAGAGGCGGAGCCGAGGCGGGACCTGCTGCCTCCGAACTGGAAGTAAACAGAGCAAGCTCAGGCTAAGAAGCTAAGCTAACATGAAATACATGCATACCAAGTTACTGCTAACAGTGTAGTTCTCCTACATAAACGTTACATTCATAATCAAATGAGACAATCTGCAAGAGAATTAGCTATATTTTGTTATTCTTAATGCTTGTCATTCACACGTTGAGAAAAGACGGACTCCACCGCCCGGACCTAATGGAGCCGCAGTGGGCTAGCTTCGGGACGCCGGCTGGAGCTAGCCCCCTGCGGCTCTGTTATTTCCGGCGGCCACCACTGGGATAATTGGGTCCTCTATTAACATTTGCTCCCGTTTAGCATTATGGGCGTCATAGCCATAGACTATAAAAGTCTTACCCAAGGCTGAATCATAAACTAAAATGTATATGTATGCATAAAGGGTTACGTCCTTAGCTGGCTAATAAGTAACAAGCTAAGCTACCAAGCACACAAACACCTGCGAACGGGGTTAACATGTATAATATTATCATTTTAGACTTCTTGGAAGTTCTGTTAGTACATTCAAGCGCACAGCACGACATTTTAATTGTCTGGTATTTGTAACAATATTCCCTAAAAGGCACAATCACCACGAACACGGCTAAAGCTAAAGGGTCAAGTACAGTACTATGACTAACTAACGTTGTAGCTTCTATGGTTGTAGCCTAGCAGAGTGGACAAGTTGCTGTTAGCTGACAGTGAGGCATGTACGTGTCCATCAAAGTGACCACGCCCTAATTTATGCTAAAACTTTAAGACCTAATATAAATAAAAGGGTCGTGTTGGAAAACAATTCACTCACAGATTCATAATCATGAAGGTGGAATCTAACTATATCGATAATAATATTTATTGCATCCATGGGTAGAAACATGTTTTTTTCTGCTGTAAAGTTGGGCATTTTAACATGGGGGTCTATGGAAATTGCTCCTTTCTGCAGCCAGTCCCTAGCGGCCCATGTATGAATTGCAGTGTGTGGCACTTTCGTATTGGCGTCCTGGCTGTTCCCCAGAGTTTGCCGCTTGGTGTGGCACGAGCGCATTTTGTGAGTAGGTAAGTTTGAGAAACCGGCTCGAGATACACTTGTTGTTATATTCCATGGAATGCTCTTAACAAAAAGGCTTTCACATTACTATAATTATATTTTTATTTAAATGTAGGCTACATTTTAAACCAAAACGGAACACAAAAGCAGGACCAACCATCATACATTGAATACCTTGACTAACAAGAGCAAGATTCATTCATTTAAATAAATATGTAACAACAAATGGGCCGGTTCTAAAGGGTTATTCAGTTAAGCCCGATGAGAGGGGATACAGCTGTGCACATGTCATCATTAACAGACGTCGTTTAAGAGTGACGTTTGAGTGAACGAGGACATCCCAATTAATACCTGAGGACTCCTCTGTCCTCGCATCACCTACTCGTGTCTCTCGCTCGCATCTTACGGAGGCGGAGCTAAGACGCAAGGAAGGGAAGCGAGTGAGGGAAAGGAGGAGTCGAGGAGGGGTATTGGGATGAGGCTAGTGTGCCGCTGCCCGGTGTAATTCAAATCTACCGCCCGCGCGCACCACAGACACACAGCTGCTGCCCTGCCGCAGCACCGGAAATGGAACTGCTGGGAGAAAAACTGACTATCAGAGATGTAACGTTATCTTTGATAATATTTCGTCTCCTCATTTTTCATCAACGAAAGTAAAGAGAGATTTTGGCATCATTTTTATTTAGTAAACTACATTTTCGTCTCGTCATGATGATTTCGTTACAGTTATTGTTTACTGCCGTCGGTGCCGTCTCGTCATCGTCTAGTTTTTGTCATGGAAAAAAAGGTCGTTGACGAACATATTTCGTCATAGTTTTAGTCAACGAAATTAACACTAGTTGAAGGCAAGAGTGAAAAGGTGAGTTTTGAGGGATTGTTTGAATGATGTGAGAGTGTTGGCGGATCTGACGTGGCTGGGGAGGGAGTTCCAGAGTGTGGGGGGGGGGGGCTGCGAAGGCCCTGTCACCCCAGGTCCGGAGCTTTGTCCTGATGGGCTGCAGTAGGTTAGCTTCAGCAGACCTGAGGCGACGGGTGGGGGTGTGTCGTTGGATGAGGTCACAGAGTTAGGGGGGGGCAAGGTTGTTGAGGGCTTTGAAAGTGAAAAGTAATATTTTAAAGTCAAGTGGAGGTCATGGAGGATAGGGGTGATGTGGTCGGAGCGTCGGGTGGAGGTGAGCAAGCGGGCAGCTGAGTTTTGGACATATTGAAGTTTTTTTAGTGTGAATGCAGGTGATCCAAAAAGTATGCTGTTGCAGTAATCCAGTCGGGATGTTATAAAGGCATGGATCAGAGTTTCAGCAGCGGTCGAAGAGAGGGAGGGTCTGATTCGTGTGATGTTC